TCTTCAGTGATCTGATTGTTGTGGCATCTTGTCCAACGATCAACATGTCATCAACATAGAGCAGAAGTATGATAAAGTTTCCACCGGGAAATGTCCTGACATAAACACACTGGTCTGCAGCAGTTCTCTTGTACTCATGACCTACCATGAATAAGTCAAACTACTTGTACCACTGTCTCGGTGCTTGTTTGAGGCCGTAGAGACTCTTCTTCAATCTGCAGACTAAGTTTTCTTTCCCTTTGACTTCAAAACCTTCTGGCTACTCCATGTAAATTTCTTCCTTCAAATCACCATGGAGAAATGCCGTCTTCACATCCATTTGTTCAAGTTCCAAATTCAAACTAGCTGCTAGTCCCAAAACTACTCGAATGGATGTCATTTTCACAACTGGCGAGAAGATTTCATCAAAATCAATACCTTTCTTCTGCCCAAAACCTTTGACAACCAATCGAGCCTTATACTTGACTAGCTTTCCGCTGCCATCTTTCTTCAACTTGAACACCCATTTGTTCTACAATGCTTTTCAACCCTGGGAGCCTAATACTTGACTAGCTTCCTGCTGCCATCTTTCTTCAACTTGAACACCCATTTGTTCTGCAATGCTTTTCGACCCTGGGGAAGTTTCACCAAATCATAAGTCTGATTCTTCTGCAAGGATTGCATCTCTTCTTGCATAGCTTGCTGCTAGCTACTCTTCTCCTTATGATTTTGAGCTTCTTGAAAATTTTATGGCTCCCCCTCATCGGTAAGCAAAATATACTCAGAAGTAGGGTATTTGGTTGATGGCTTAAATTCTCTTGTTGATCTTCGTAACTGTGGACCAACAGTCTCTGGTAGAGGGGGTTGTGGCTCCCCCTGCTCAACACCCTCTGCTTCTGGATCTTTTTCTTCTAGAAATCCATCCTGCAACTCTACATCATTGACTGCATGCTGCGGTAACTCTTCTTCATCACTGGCATGCTGTGATGGTGCAGGGTTTGGAAAAATTTCTGAAACATCATCAACTTTGGGTTTGGCTGGTTGCCCAAAGTCTTCAAAGGTCTGGCCTTCTTGAAACACCACATCTCGGCTTCGAATAACCTTTTTGTGTTTCGGAACCCACAATCTGTATCCAAATTCTTCATCTCCATAGCCAATAAAGATGCATGGAGTGGCTTTGTCATCCAGCTTCTGTCTGTGCTCCTTGGATACATGTGCAAATGCTTTGCACCCAAACACTCTCAAGTGAGAGTAAGAGATCTCCCTTCCAGACCATACTTCTTCTGGAATCTGAAAATTCAGTGGAATTGATGGCGATCTGTTGATCAAATAGCAAGCAACACGAACAGCTTCTCCCCAAAATGGCTTTGGTAGCTTTGCCATTTTGAGCATACATCTGACCTTCTCCACAATGGTTCGGTTCATTCTCTCGGCTACACCATTGTGTTGTAGGGTTCCAGGAATAGTCTTTTCATGCCTGATGCCGTGAGTAGCACAGTATGTACTCGCCTCCATTGTCTGTTCGGAGACATTTCATCTTCTTTCCAGTCTCCCTTTCCACCATAGCATGGAATGTCTGAAAATGCTGGAACACCTCAGCTTTGGTCTTTAAGACATAAACCCATACCTTCCGTGATGCATCATCAATGAACGTCAGAAAGTATTTTCTACCACCCAAAGATTCCACTTCAATGGGACCGCAAACATCAGAGTATACTCTGCTCAACAACTCTGATTGTCTTCTGGATGATGAATGGAAAGCTACTCTATGATGCTTCCCAAACAAGCAGTTGTCACAAGGATTTAATTTTGCATCTTTGGCAAAGGGAATAAGTGACTTCTTTGCCAAAATCTGTAACCCTTTCTCACTCATGTGACCCAGCCTTTTGTGCCACAAATTTGGTGACGTCTCATCTTCTGCTGCGTTGAAGCTATTTGAATTCACCTCCACATGAGTCTTGTATAGTGTGCCAATTGCCTGTCCTTTGGCTACCACGAGAGATCCCTTTTTCAACTTCCATATGCCTTTGCCAAAATAGTTCTCATAGCCTTGTCGATCTAAGGCTATCCCTGAAATAAGATTCAGGCGTAAATCGGGAACATGCCTGACATCTTTCAACACCATCGTGCACCCAACTTTGGTTTAGATATGAACATCACCAATTCCCACAATTTTTGAAAAACTGGAGTTACCCATTTTCACTGTACCAAAATCTCCAGCTTGGTACATACTAAAAAACTCCTTCCGGGATGTAGCGTGGTAAGAAGTTGCTGTGACTACCACCCACTCGGTGTTGTTGTCTGACATATGGAGGCATTCTTCTTCTTCAACAGAGAATAATGCAATATCCTCTGAGACAGAAACTGCAGTGGTCCCATCTTCGGTCTTTGGCTATCTATTGCCTTGTTGTTGTTCTCCCTTCAAGGCATAGCAATACTTCTTTATGTGACCCTCCTAGCCACAATGGTAACATTTGAACCTTGGCCGGCTCATTCCTTCTTTGAATTTCCCTCTGTCTTGAGATCTTCCTCTGCTGCGTCCTCTACTTTTGCTTCTTCCCCTGCCCCTGCCTCTACCTCTGCTTTTATTTTCTGTGACGAGGGCATGGGATTGATCTCCACCCATTTCTTTCTTTCTTGCCTCTTCACTAAATAAAGCATCTGTAACCATGCTCATGGTCAGTTTCCCTTCTAGGGCAGAGTTGCTGAGAGACACCACCAATGTCTCCCAACTGTCTGGCAAAGAACTGAGCAGCAATAGGGCCCGCATCTCATCATCTAACTCCATTTTGACAGTTGTTAGTTGGTTCACCAAATTTTGAAACTCACTGGTATGTTCAGCAACAGAGATACCGCCTTTCAACTTCAAATTCACAAGTCTTCTCATCAGGAGGGCTACCAAATTGACATCGTGAGTGGTGCCTATTGTCTCAACTTCAGCTAAGAATGACTTTTTAACCTGACCAAAACCATCGAGATGCTTCACTGCTACATTGGTGACATCACATAGTGTCCCTTGAAACACTGACCCAAATCCTCCTTCACCAAGCTTATTATCGAAGTTGCTTGTCATGACTCTCAATTCTTCATAAGAGAATCTGGTAGGCATGCCTGGTAGTTGATCAATATAGAACTCATCAAGTTCCTCGGATTCTCCTTTATTTCTAATAAGGAAAAGGAAAAGGCAAAAAGCAATTACAAAAAATACACTAAAGAAAGCTGCGAGACTAGATCCCAATATGATTTTGACATGCCTTGATTTCTTCTGAGGAGAATCTGTTGGTAAAGGAGTAGGATACTCTGCAGCCGGAGATTTTTGCACTTTAAGAAACACAGCAACATTCTGATACCGTCCCTCATTAGTCATAAGAGAAAAGACTTCCGACCGTAGAAAACAACCTGGATATGCAAACATGGCAGCTTTGCATGAACAGTTTTTTAAGCAACTCTTCTTGCAGTCCTCTAATGATATGTTTTCAACCAAATATTCATTGTTTGAATTTAAGTAAAAGTAACTCGTATTGTTAAGCTCCAAAAGGGTGTGATATTGAGAATTGTTACAAGAAATGGGTGTAGCAAGGGAACATCCAAGGGTCGGGCCCGCCCTGGGTCGCTGGCCAATTTTATACTCTTATCGATGTGAATGTTAACATGTCAATGTGAATATTCACATTGTCAGCGGGCCGGGTCGGGCCCTTCTTAGGCCGCTGGCCAATTTTATACTCCTATCAATGTGAATGTTAACATGTGAATGAGAATATTCACATTGTCAACGGGTCGAGTTAGGCCCGCCCTGGGCTCTTATGTTTCAATAAGTCCTATGGGTGACATAATTACCAAAATACCCTTAATGTGAATGTTTACACTGTCAATGTAAATGTTCATATCGTCAATGTGAATGTTCACACTG